AATGAAGAGTGGGAAAAAACCTCGTAAGCGCCATTGGACCGTGCTAAGATCGGATAGTACGGGATATTATAGGGTACTGCAGCTTGCTCCAACATAATGGAGATGTTGCATGTGTGAGGGATTTGCGATTTGACCATTGATTTTTATGTAAAAGTTCGCGAGAAACACGATGGTGCCACTGGTTTTTCTCTGAAATCAACTCCCAAGCTCAAAAAAAGCTCTCAAAGTGAGGCCAAAATGGAGGGGATATACCAGATACCACCCCACCCTGAGAGTCCACCTCTACATCAAAACAAACTCTCCATGCAAAGATAGGGAGCAAATACATTTGCAGGGTTGCCGTGTTTTCAGTTTTGGAGTCCCCAAATAAAGCGGCAACCCTGCTAATGTATTTGCTCCCTATCTTTGCATGGAGAGTTTGTTTTAATGTAGAGGTGGACTCTCAGGATAACGTGAGATATCCCCTCCATTTTGGCCTCAATTTGAGAGCTTTCTTTGTGCTTGGGTGATGATTTCAGAGAAAACCAGTGGCACCATCAAGTTTCTCGCGAACATTTACATAAGAATCAATGGTCAAATCGCAAATCCCTCACACATGCAATATCTCCATTAGTTTTAGTAGTACCGTAACTCAAGATAGGCAGTATCGCAACATATGGGTTTGTAACCTAATTTATTTGGGTACTACCACAATTAATTGGAAATGTCCGCACCGTCCAATCGCCCCACACTCTTCTTTTCCCACAATGTTAAGGATCTCCTCAAACCTCCCTTTGTCACCATGGGTCTCCCAGGGAGAGGAGTTGTATAAGGAACGACTATGAATATGTCGCAGGTAAATAGTGAAATCAGGCATTTTGTGAAATGCCCAGGCAGATAGTTAAATTTTGACGGTCTACAAAATTTTGTGAATTTATGGCGAAGAGCGCACGAGTTTTAAATATTTTTGATCAAACCTATGAACTGTTTTTGTCTCGTCCTCTTTAATTGCTTCTCATATTTTGAAATGCTATAATTCTAAAAATTCTGTATTTTATGACATGCTGAAAACTTCAAGATAAAAGTCTGTTCAGGAGCTAAAAATCGTTTAAAACACCATCGTATGATGCAAATTTTCACTGAGAATTTTTTCTTACAGGGGCAGTTACTTACTTTGTCTAAAATTAGGAAAAGAATCGGGAAATTCTCTCTGAATTAGAATATTTGGCTATTTGCCTGCGCATTTGACGAAATGCCTGAATTTACTATTTGCCTGCGACAAATCCAACCCTAAGATAGCAACCCTGACTCAGTTCTACCGTTGGCTATCAGATGGCCGCTGAGCCTTGCGGGAATACAGCGGATACACAATGTGTACCATATATGAGTCAAATTCAAAGCTACTAAAATCTCTATATTCATAGCTCCAAAATCACTGATGACCTAAAACTTTACATGTTAAGATAGGATTTTTTATTTCATCCATTAAATATAAAATTCGGATAGAGGAAAAAGCTAGAAAGACTACAATTACGAAAGGTAAAATTGTTCAAAAGGACTCCATACTTTGATTACCTAAAAGCATTACTTGTATTAGTTGATTTGAGGTTAAGAAGCACGGTCCAACTTCGGGGTGCACGACGGCAGGTACGTGCCAGTTGTCTTGGCCCCTTGAGGGCGCTTCGCCGATCAGCCCGGCCCTACTTACTTACTTACAAACTTACTTACTTACTTACTTACTTACTTACTTACTTACTTTCTTACTTACTTACAAACTTACTTACTTACTTACTTACTTACAAACTTACTTACTTACTTACTTACTTACTTACTTACTTACTTTGTCTGAAATTAGGAAAAGAATCGGGAATTTTTATCTAAATTAGAATATTTGGCTATTTGCCTACGCATTTGACAAAACGCCTGAATTTACTATTTGTCTGCAACAAATGCAACCCTAAGATAGCAACCGTGACCCAGTTCCCGAACCCCGGTGCCAAGTCTGAGAGAGTGGTCGTCAATTATTACGAGGGGAAGGGGGGTTGCGGTTGTGGGTCGTGCACGTTCCTCCCAAGACCAAGACGCTGACCGGTGGCCGGCCGCCCGGACGGTTACTACGGGCGGCGATCCGTATAATGCCCCCCTCCCCCCCCCTCATCGCGGCGATCCTCGTAAAAAACCAATACAGGAAGAGATGAATGGGACCGGACCTGCGGACCCCGCACCGAGGCGCCCTTGGCTTCCCGCCAATGGAGAACCGTTTATTGTATATTCGCGAGTTAGATTACGCCCCTCCCCCTCTCCGTGCACTCCCGGCATAACGTCCCCCCCCCCCGGCCCCCTCGCCTGGGAGTCCGGCCCACGTTCGGGATAAAACACGATTTCCTCTTCGCGGCCCATATTTCACCTCTCCTCGCGTTGCGGGCCTGGTTGCCTACCCGAGCCTTGTCAGGCGCTCGTAGGGAGTATTTGCAGAGTGTATCTATTACCCCTCCCCCCGCTCGCCCGCCCTCTAGCGCCCTGATGGACCCACTTTACTCGCGTGCTCGCTTCCCTGCCAGGGTTGTCATGTTTCCCCTATTTTATTTTATTGAACGGTAATAGCATTTCAAGGGCTAAGGAACAATATACTGTCGTGACAGCGGAGAGGACTGTGAATGTCACACTTTCGAAATCGAGTTACCTTCAAAATTTGTCTGATCTCCTTTAGATGAAATCACTGAAATAGCTGAAACAGCAATATTTATCTGAATTAAATTAAAACGAGACTCATGAGAATGCCTTAAGTGCGCAAAAATGAAGTTGTTTCAGGCAAAACACCAGCAAGTGACATTAGTGTCAGCGAATGAAAAAAGTGCTTTCAAGTAAAGTGCCGCCCTTTTCTGCCAATTTCTAACCTGAAAATGTGTTCGTTGTGTGTCCAAAAAACAACCACGAAAGCCACGAAACTGGTCAGAAGCTTCTGAGCTCGTTTTCTCAAAACTTCTATAGTGGCGTTGTAAAGTTGCTGTGATGTATAAAAAATTGCAAATCTAATCTTTTAATTACAAAAATAGCGACGTTTCTGTTTTGTCCTGCAAAATCGTCAATTTGTAGATAGGCGATATTGTTCCTTAACCGTCGACTTCTCTGTGAATGATGGGTGCAGAGACCCCACAATCCCAATCAAAGCGGTGCAATCGTGAATCGTAAATTTAAATTCAAAATGCAAAATACAACTATTTTAACTTCCAAGTAGCTCAAATTGCATACCTCCCGAATTGAAGGAAAATCGCGGTTTCTTCTCGTATTCCCACCGGTTAAGCTCTGTTCTCATTCGTTTTAAATACATCTCGACTCTACTTGCAAAGAAATTATATTTTAGAGATCCCTTACTAATAATCAAAACAATACGATTGGTTGTAGCAAATTGTGAAGTTAGGAGTGTATTTCAGACTTTCCCAATGAGCTTGTCGTAATTTTTGAGTCATTTCGTACCAGAGATAACTGGACTGCATTTTGCAATTTGGAGCTATAAATTCTAGCTCTTCTGAAAATACACTTATGCGCATAGGGAAACTAATAGCACATACGTTGTTTTTAAACCGGGCTAGAATTTATCGTTCCAAATTACAAAATGCAGTCCAACTCTTCTTTTTACTCTAGATGCAGCTTGCAACAGGCTCATTGGTCCAGAACGACTGATTCATGAAGATTGATCTATTCTAATAATGAAAAGGTCGTGATTACTTACAATCTATCTACATGTAATACACAGAAAAAAATAGATGGTGCTGACGACAGAACCTTCTGTTCACAGGACTCCTGCAGTTTCTTTGTTACGCTTACAGAATTTTTCTGTTGTAAGAACAGAACCTCGGTCGTATGGGAACAGAGTACTCTGTCCTCGTGACGGAAACTTCTGTGACTGTTACAAATGAAGTGCAGGAGCCCTGTGAACAGAACCATTTTTTTCAGTGAAAGTCGTGAGTGTAGCATCCAAAAATAGGAAAAACGAAAGTTCCTTCCAAAAGTTGGCAAAGCCGTGTGTGGGGTGTGGGCGCACCCTAGTTGGCTTTGATTCATGTTTTCTTTGATGAAGTCGCGTTTGGGGCAGCTTTCACCCTCGTAAGGGTGGGAGAGGGGTCGGGACTAAATCGTGTTTGCATCTCAAGTTGGTGTTGGCGGGTTTTCCCTTTTTTGCGGCGGCCAAATGAATAGGCGCTATCCCGTTGATTTCATTGCGTGCGCCCCCTGGCAGTTCTGCAAGAACCGAGTATCTTCATTACATTCTCATGCCAGATAAGCTGTTTCTATTTAGAAGAGTCGTGTTGCGTGGCCACTCTTCTCCACACCACTCATCCGATGTTGCCGCTGTGAGAGTGGAAAAAACGAGAAAAGGCGAGAAGGAAAACGACACAATAGCACCAAATTGAAGTTATTGAGGTACAGTTGAGTTTTTTTCAATTTTTGACCCTTTTCTTGTAAATTTTAAAGTTTTAAAATTTTAAATTTTTTCCAACTTACTGTTTAAAGTTTTAACGTTTCGTTCTATCGGTTAGGCAGCTTTTTCTTCCAGATTTATCCCAGATTAAAGTAGAATCATATCGGTGGCCAAATTACGAAATCACGTTTCTTCAACGTTGCGGACTTTCCAGGTATACTTTATTTTTGCTTCGGAAAACTAGTCGTAATTTCTTGGAAACTTCCTTGGTTCTTCTTCTCTGTTTCTCTATGAATTTCAAGCTATGAAGTTGGCTTGTTTTTTTTTTTTGAAATATACAATCGAGGCGGAAATTTTGAAACACCGCAATGGAGATACGTGATTTTGCTTTTGGCCATCGATAAGGAGAAAATTTTTTATTGAAACAACAATATCGTCCATTGAAGGTGCCCTGCGTTGGACATCTCCTTGCGAAAAATCGAATTTCTCTAAAAAAAAAAAAAACCAGTTCATTTTTTGTCGAATAATTAGAATTTCAGTTGCTCTAAGGAAAATTATGGGGTTTGGGGTTTGACGTTGTTATTGATAATAGCAGGAGTGTGCAAAGTATTATTTTTTTATTCGTTTGAAAAAATATTGTTACAAATAGTTTTTATGAAGGTTTAAGGTGGAAGTTCAATTTAACGTAGTTCAATGAAAATAAGGATTATTAATATGAGGCTCATTCAATTAAAGTAAGGCCTCACAGATTATTTAACATAGTTTGCATTCCATAGAATCCGTTAAGCTCATTCAAGGATGGACCAGAGTATGTGATACAACTATTTTAATCCCCGAGCAGCCGAAAATGCATAGGTACGAAATTGAAGGCGGACTTAGTTCTTCAATTTTATTTTCGCTCGATCAAACTATTGGATCGTGTTTACCAGAGACAAGTGAAGTCTCATTTTGGGGGAAAATGAGTCAGGAGTAATAGCCCACTAAACCTCGTATTTTTATTTAATATTCCGCAAGCACCGGGCAAGTAGATAACGTGGTGATTTATCGCGTATTTTTGGAGCCAAAATTCTGGACAAGCTCGCTTTTAAAAAGCTCAAAAACTTGAAGAACTCTTAAATGGGCGCCGGAAGGGCAAAATAATGAAGGCACCGGTGTACCACGGAAGTCAAATCGCTACCTCATCTCATTTTTGACTGGTGTTTGTTAAAATAAATGGTATTTCATCGTGGAATTGTTGCGTATTTACCTCTAATAACATGATTCAGATTAGATTCTGAAGAAATAGTCTCGACTTTCCTCTTGGTTTCATATACGAGGAGTAGGAATAAAACATTCGACGGAAGTCGCAGAAACCCATGCCCGCTTCTGATTGGTGCCAGATTACATCATTCGGTTCAGTTTGGCACGAAAGCGAGGCTTTTTAAATTTGCGAAAAAGTTGCGCGTTTTGAACTGCGTATTTCTAGGTCTCTGAGCTACTTTTTTGTATTCTCCATGTGCGCATCTATTGCTCTATGTCATTGACTTTCAGAGTGATGTTTTCGAAAGTCATAAATGGATTGCATTTCGCAAAAAGGAACCAAGAGCATTTCAATGCCACTAGGATTGTGAGGGTTACATTCTTTGCAATAAAATGACTAAAATCATGCAAAAAATTAAATTTATAAAGGTAATTTTCATCTTAAACTTATTGTTTATTGGGAGTGAAGATAAAACTTGTTTAGATGATCAATTTATATTTGCAAGATAAAAAAGTTGCACAATTTTAGCGACATCGGAATGCTCTTAGTTCCTTTTTGCAAAATGCAATACAATTCGTTCATGGTTTAGCGACCCATTCCGCTCAATTTGCCATTTGTCTTTTTTGTCTATGGGTGGTTTCACGATAACTGGAATAGTTTTGTCGCCGTAACAGACAACACATTTTTCGGTCATATTTTTAGTAGTGATGATAATCCAATTTTTTCGCGTTAATCTGCAAAGGGTTACGCAATATAACGCTTTCTAATGATTTATTGCTCTACTTCTCAATTAATATTATGTAAATTCCGAAAACGTGCTGTCTGTTGCGTGGTAAAAAGTCAGCGTAACAGACAGCACACTTTCAGCCATGTATATATTAAAATTATGAAAAGTAGAGCGATAAATCGTTGAAAAGTGTTATAACGCGTGACCCTGTGTAGGTTAATGCAAAAAAATTCGAGTGATTCTCATTACTATACTACTCAAAATATGACCGAAAAATGTGTTGTCTGTTACGGCGACAAAACTATTCCAGTTATCGTGAAATCACCCCCATCAATATCAATAATCAGCCTTCTACAGCCTCTCCCAGTCCTCCTTGATCAAATCAGCAGCCTTCTCGGCGATCATCATCGTCGGCGCGGCCACATTCCCGCTCGGGATCGTCGGCATGACACTCGCGTCGACCACCCTCAACCCCCCAACCCCGACCACCCTCAACCGCGGGTCCACCACCGCCCCCCTCCCAACCCCCATCGCACACGTCCCCACCGGGTGGTACCCCGTCCGCGTGTAGTGCCGCATCACACACTCGAAATACCCGTCCGAATCCCCCGCGAGCCCCTCACAACCGGGGAGCGGGATCGTGACGGGTGTTGCGTTTAGTTTTTTGAAGGCGTTACTAGACGCCAGCCCCATCGTCCATCTCATACCAGCGATCATAGTATCAACATCTTGCTTCGTTGCGTAGTAGTTCGGCTCAATAATCGGGTGGTTTGTGGGATCGGCACTGGCCAGGCGCACCCTACCACGACTTGTTGGTCGTAGTACCTCCACCGTGAATTCGAAAAGGTACTCGTTTGTTAGGTTCTCGTACCCGGTGTTGATGAATAGGTCGGGGCGGAGGTTGTAGAGTTTCTCGCCGAAGGGTTTCTCATCACTGTTGAACATGCTCTGTGCCCTAGAATGGAGTTGAACATCCGGGTATGATCCAGAACTATCAGCGTGTTCGGTGTTTATAAACCCGAGGATTTCGAAACCACCAGGTGACATCAGGGGTCCATCCCCGCGGGTGAAATACTCAAAGGCGACGCGCTCGTTCAATATGTCCGCGGTTTTGAGCGTCACGGCTGCGTCCGTTCTGTACGTGACGATGGTCCCCACGTGGTCCTGTAGGTTGTACCCCACGCGGAGGTTCTGCACCACTTGGATGTTGAGTTGTTTCAGGTGTTTCCGGGGGCCGATACCGGATAACATCAGGATCTGCGGTGAGCCGATTGAGCCGGCGCTTAGTATGATTTCTTTTTTGGCTTTTATGGTGTGGGTTACGCCGTTTTTGGTGAAGGTCACTGATTCTGCGCGCCGTTGTGAGTCGAAGTTTAGTTTCGTTACGAAACTGTTCTGGGAGATGTGAAGGTTGGGACGGCTCGCGGCGGGGATTATGAAGGCTTTGGTGACGCTGCAGCGCTTTCCGTTGCGTAGGTTGACCTGCAAAAAGAAATGATGTGAGGATGGATTGATTGGAAAATGTTTCAAGTATGTGTTTCGTATTAATAGGAATCTCAAGACTTGTTTCCCGAGTATATAGCCCAAGATGTTCTAGGAACTGATTTATTGGCTAACTTATATGGACGTATTTCTGCCAAACGGAGCTATGTACATTAAGAAATGAGCCGTGAAACCCATAAAAATATGTGCACAACAGGGCTCACGTCATTATGCGCACAGTTCGGTTTGGCAGAAATACGTCCATACAGTTTATACAGCTTACATAGCTTATATTGACGGTGAAACTCCCAAACTACGTATTTCAGTTGCATATACTTTCTGTCATATTTTATTTTTCAAATTGGAAACTATTCAAAATCTATTTAATTCCCAATTGAATCGGCTCGTGCGAAAACCGCTAATGTCCATTTCCTCTTATTTTGAGTAAACTGCAAAAAACTGTAGAAGCCTTTTAAATGCGGGATTAAAACATGTTCAGAAGTTGATTATTATAAGAGTGGATTGTAGAAAAGGATCCCTAACAGTTTCCAGCTCCTCTTCAGTCTGGGATGGAGTAATTAAAAAAAAAGGACTCTGGACATTAGCGGTTTTCGCATGATTCGTAAAAATCGCCGAGTTTTGAAGCCGTTTGATACTTTCAAAATTCATTCTAAAGATATTAAAACGGTAGATTATCATTCAAATAAAGTTGAAAAACTAAAATTCTTGACAATTGCGGCACTTAAAGCAAGTTTCATCACGGGACTACAAGCAATAAACTGGACATTAGCGGTTTTCGCATGATTCGTGCATGGTCGGTTCTAAATAATCGAAAACGCATATGTTTAAGTATGCCTACCGGGCTAAATAAGGTCATCTTAACGTATTTTGAGGCGCTGAATCCGAATATGACCTCCGTTTTATTCCATCACCCTCCGATTTTCCGGAAAAACCGGGAAAGTGGCCATTTTTGGGCATTTCCGGTGTATTTCCTACTGTTATCCCCTGCAGAATGTAGGTAAAACTTTTCGTAACTACGAGATTCACGTTTGCCGATGTCTTTTTGACCGACAAATCCGGAAATGACCTTAATTTTTCCCGTTCCTCTCTCAGTTTTCCGGGAAAGCAACTTATTCCCGGGAAAATGATCAAATTCTCCGGTGGGTGATATCGAATTTCTAAGGTCATATTTGGGGTTTTCAGCTCACGTTACATGTAAAACGATGTATCACACATGCGGAAAATGTTTTGAATTTCCCTGGAAGAGGGAACAGTCCGGAAAAGCTTTTGGGCGGGAAAAACCGGGCCAAGAGTCCGGAAAAATCGGACCTTCTCGAAAACGGGGGCTTGTCAAAGATGAGTGAAGGTCAAATTCGAGTTCAGTGCTTCTTAATACAGCAAGAGAGACCAAAAAAGGATCTCGGAAAATTTCTGAAACTCCTCAGAGCAGGAAAATCATCCCGCAAAAATACCCGAAAAGAGCGTTTTCTTAGGAAAAGCGACTTTTCCGGAAAAATGATGGGTGATCGGAAAAATCTGAGATCATTTTTGAATTCAACAGTTCAATACACAAAGGAATCGATGTATCACACATCGGAGACATTTTTAAAATGAATTTCGAACACACTTTGAGTCCGGCGAAGCTTTTACGATACACAATTTTAGGCTCGGAAAAATCGGCTTTACCGGAAATCTGAAGTGTGATAGAAAGAAACCGAGGTCATATTCGGATTCAGCAGCTCAAAATACAGAGGCAATATACTATCACGGGTCCAGGAAAATTTATAAAAATAAATTTCATGCACGACATATATACGTCGAATTTGCTCATTTTCCCGAGAAAAAGTTGCTTTCCCGGAAAACTGAGAGGTGAATGAACGGGAAAAATTAAGGTCATTTCCGGATTTGTCAGTCAAAAAGACATCGGCAAACGTGAATCTCGTAGCTACGAAAAGTTTTACCTACATTCTGCAGGGGATAACAGTAGGAAATACACCGAAAATGCCCAAAAATGGCCACTTTTCCGAGTAAAATCGGGTTTTCCGGAAAATCGGAGGGTGATGGAATAAAACGGAGGTCATATTCGGATTCAGCGCCTCAAAATACATTAAGATCACATTACGTCGTCCAGGAAACACTTTTTTCTTTTGGTGTGTTGTACTGTTTTATGAGGCATATACCGGAGGATGGACATTAGCGGTTTTCGCATGATTCGGACCACGGCCCCCCCTGAAAAGGGGTTCAAACCCAAGGAACAAACATTTTCACCACATTAATGAGTGTGTCTGACCTCCGAGAGTATTTTAACCCAAAAATCTCAAAATTGAAAAAAATGGACATTAGCGGTTTTCGCACGAGCCGATTCAATTGCGGGTCGGTTCCCACTTAATTCACACTTTCGGCAAACAAGGGATTTGGAATTTCTCGTTCATGGATCGACTTCATCGGTGTCCCAATACATTGCGACTCTATTCTACACTTTGCCTTTTGAGCTCTGAAAGCTCCATGACCTGACCTGCAAACTACAGAATTGCCCGTATACTCTCTCCATACAGGCAGACACTTCAGTTCATTGGCGATCCATTTTTCGAGATTTTTATACTCCTCTCCCCGTTATATTTAAACAGGGATGCCACAGTCAGGGAAAACCGGGAAATGTCAGGAAATTTTAAAAAGTCAGGGAAATTGATGAAAGTGCCAAGAAAAATTTGAATACCTTTACTTGCTTTTTAGAATGGACTTGACGTTTTGAACTACAAATTTTGCCCGAAAACTATTTCAAAGTATGTATTTTTAACCACCTGGCATATCTTCAATCACCAGGAAATTTTACTCAAATGTGTCAGGGAAATCAGGAAAATTTCAGGAAATTTCATCCTCCAAATTCTGTGGCAATCCTGAAGTTTATTTTAAAAAAAGAACTGACCTGCGCAACGGTGAAACCGGTTTGATTCCTGCCATTTATATCCAGATTCTCATAGCCTCGCGATTTCGCCGCCTCGATGATCGAACCCGCTGTAGGCGAGACAAACGGCAGATCCTGGACGCTGAGATACCCGCCAGCAGCATGATAATCCGTATCGACCAAATCAGGGTTCGCGTTATCCTCCGATTTCAGGAAGTACTTCAAGACGTCGTCGAAGCCCCAACCGACGTTGCCCATCCTCGCCCAGCCATCGTAGTCCCGCCGGTTGCCGCGGACGTAGAGGAGCGAGTTCAAAACGCTGGAACCGCCGACGACCCGCCCGCGCGGCCACTTGCAGGAGAGGTCGTTCATGGCCAGGCAGTAGCTCTGGTTCCCGTGGGGCGGCGCCGTGCGGTACTGCCAGTCCATGGAGGTGTCGCGGAGGCGGTGGCTCAGACCCGGGACCTCCGAGAGTGGCGTCTCGTGGTCCCCCGCCTCCAGGACCAGGACCCTCCAGGAGGTTTCTTCGGAGAGCCGGTTTGCCAGGATGCTCCCCGCGGAACCGGCTCCGATGATTATGAAGTCGTATTCTGGTTCTAGCTGAAAGAGAAAACGCGCGTAAGTAGAGGGATGGAGCGTAAGTAGAGCGTAAGTAGAGCGTTTCTTCGAAGGGACAGTGGACAGATCATTGAAATAAACCACTAGACAAGGTACGAATTTCAGCATTCTGATACATGTTTCTTAACCAAAATTTCACGTAAAACACGATGCGCACAGCAAAAATTACCAAAATCAACTCCTTACAAGGATATTTAATGATTCTTGATGCGTGATTTCAAACCACCCGCTCATGAAAACTCAAATGCTCTACGTGACTCACATCGCGCGCTAAACGTTATCATGACAGTCTCTGCGATATAGAAAATCTGGCAACCTCAATCTTGACGCTTTGGCTCAGCTAAAGCAAATTGCTAATAGTTTGAACAACACGTGGTAGGGAATGAACATTGCTCGATTGAGAAGCTTGCTGAAGCCGTTGTAGTGCGCGATTTGACTCACGTAGAGCTTTGAGTTTCTTGTGAGCGGGCAGTTCAAATTCCTCGTAACCAATGTGAAATAAAAACGTTAATATCTTCGTTAGGAGTCGGTTTCAGTAATTTTCGTCGCACGAATCGTGTTTTACGTAAAATTCTGGTTAAGAAACATGTATCAGAATGCTTAAATTCGTACCTTGTCTACTGATCCATTGAAAGACACGGAGATGGATCGTCACCTTCCGGCCAAAGTATCACAAGCGCCTTACGATGTTTCAAAATTTCCGTCGCCATTTGATTTTATACAGAAAATGTGCTTTGGAAATAATTAAATTTGACACGGAACAACTTTAATATTTACAAAAAAATACAGTATATTATTCCTTTAGAACATATTTTTTTTTCTTCATAAATATAGATGAGAATAATCCTTGCGGAGTGGGCAAACATTTAAAAATCATGAGTTGAAAAACGCTGAATTCGCGAGTTTAAATATTAGAGCCGAACGCAGAGCGGAGCGGCACGCGGCGTGATGCCAGCGCGACACGCGCACTGGCGCCTACAAACCTAACAGGGATACTTCACGCATTGCGCAATGCGTGAAGTATCCCTGTTAGGTTTGTAGGCACCAATGCGCGTTAGGTTTTTAGGCGCTTCAAGCAACTATTTCACAATAGAGGTGTTGCACAGTATCATACGAAATTGAAGGCGTTCCAAAATTTTAAGAAGGCATTGACAGGCATCCTTTAAAAGTACAGAGATTTCCTCGCAAAATAAATCAAGATGCTACGGCGCATGAAGAGAGCGGTAGTCCAAAAACTCACCGGGTAATTATATAATTGTAATTATATCAGAGAATCCAACGGGTACTATTTGGTTAAATAAAGTGCGTAAAAACTTATGATGCTTGCAAAATTGCACTTTTTCTCTAATAATTTTATTTTTTTTTGTTGCAGGTAAGTGTCAAAATTCATTTGAGGTCCCATCTTCATAGAAACATTGGTATCGTGAGTAGTAAATCATCATTCTTTACCCCTATTATACTACTTTTAGTCTAGTTTGTAATCAGTGATGATACCGTCACCCTCCGGCCAAAGTATCACAAGCGCCTCACGATGTTTCAAAATTTCCGCCATTTTATTTTATACAGAAATTTTTTACGTTGAATCTGTTTGAGAGTTTCACTGAAATTCATCGGCAGCACCAAGAAAATTCAGTGAAATTTTCAGACAGCTTCGTTGAACAATTTCTCTGTAAAAACATAAAATGGGGGCGGAAATCGTGAAACGTCACATGGCGCTTGTGATACTTTGGCCAGAAATAGACGAGATGTAGAGAATATGGAGCGATCCTATTGGCGGAAGCGGGAGGTTGTAATGAACGAAGGAGCTTTCAGTAATAGGTACTAACTAGCGGAAATCCACGGAAGATCCTTTAGTTTTTAGTCCATTATTTTTCTCCTTAGTCAATAAAAACCAACTGTTTCTATCAATTAGATCCCTCCATTTTCCCTGTGCCTTTTTCGTGTACAGCTTTTTCTATCGATTTTAATAATCGATTCGCATATTGAAAAGTATTTGAAAAACAAGGGAAACCTGGAGAATTCAGGAAATATTGTGTTTAAAGCTTTGAAATCTCTCCTTCTAGCCAAACTATTGCATTTCTTCTATTTCAAAAGATTGTGTTGAAATTGTTTGTTTCGAAAATAATTTCATGAAAAATCATGGGGGAGGGGGGGGGGGGTGTTCGGGAAAAGTCAGGGAATTTTGTAATCCAACCAGCCTAAAGTGTGCCAGAAATAGTGTAGTTGTAATTTAATTTCAATGGGTCCACACGAAAAAAATGTACTTCAATTATGTGTCTTGCTTTATCAAGACCGGACGCAAAGTGAACGGCTCATGCATTTATTCCGAGATTATACCATTCATTTGTTCGAGGCCTTCTCTAATATCAAAGTATTTTTACCTGGTCAACGTCCATCAAGTTAGTTCCTGGATACGGGTGGAGTCTGCTGTAGAACGCCAGCATCACAGCGAAGATGTAATCGAAGCCATAAATCCACCAAACCGATCTTACTGTTGACAGCATGGTCATCGTTACGCCTACCTCAGCAGTCAAATCGTTGAAAATCGCCAATCAAAGACAAACGCAATAGTTTCAGATGAATATTTTTAGCACAAAAACAAGAATTTAAGCCTCCCTTCTTTGATCTGATAGTATTTTAATCACAAAAGAGAACTACAGTAGTTGGTCACTAAGTCATCACTAAGTCACAAGTTATCACTAAGTCTCATTATTATCAAAACTTGTACCTTTAAAACGACAGTGGTCACTGTTCATGGAACACATAGGCACCCGAGTACACAAGCACATCACCAGCGCGGTTCAAACAACGCAAAATGAATGTGCATTAATTTTATATGAATCTGTACTCAATTTATTTATCTTATTAAATCTATTTTCGAGGATGAGCAATTAATTTCCTTTCTTCGTCGATTGATCACAAGTGATCACTCAATATTTCATCGAGTGGTCCACTTCTACCATCCACTCGAAGACATGATCACACCATTGCATTCCAGGGATCTGTGACGTATCGACTGTCAAGCTGCCCGCCACGCTCCATGAATCACTGTATCTATCCTGTTAATTCCAGACTTCTGTTTGAAAAAAAAGGATCCTGACGAATTTTAAAATTGTGAGACAGTATGAGGCGGAGTATATGCCTTCCGGCTGATACGTGGCGCTACCTACCCTTCCGGCATTGAATTCTGAAAAGATTAAGGGAAACGGGCAAGTCTAAAGGTTATTACTTGCCAATATCCGCAAATATCATAGAATTTGTCCCACTAGCGGATCGATTATTGAAATTGATAGACAAAGCTATAGACTAAAGAGACAAAAAGAATATGGAGGGATCTTATTGGTGGAAATAGGTGATTGTAATGGTCAAATACGATAGGTAATGGACCATGGACCAACTAACGGCAACCGACAAGAGACCCTTTAGTTTGTCCATCATTTTCTTCCTTAGTCTTGAACAACCACCAGTTCCAACCAATGAGATCACTCCATGCTCCCTACATCTTCTTTGGCAATTGCTGTGTCCATCAACGTCAATAATCAGCCCGCAGATATCTAAAAAGAACTATGATAAAAATAATCATTCTAGTAGTCAGAGAGCTCAACGATAAGGTGACTTAATTTCCCGTTGGTAAATCGGCGTATGACATCAAGATTTTACCCGCAAGAGCAAAGTAAATATTTTAAAAAAAAACTTGACTTGGCACTTAAAATATCTCGTGTCATCGAGGATATTAAATTATTTTAAGTATTTAACTGACGTATTTAAGATGAAATCATGAGAGTCGAAAATGACATCGTATTCGACGTCATGATCAAACAGCTTGTCTATGGTCATGTCAGCAGGCCCGCCACAAGGGGGGGATACTGGGTCCCTGGTACCGGGGCCCGGGCCCTGGAGGGGCCCGTGACGCAGGTGACAAACCACTACGAATTCATGTGTAATCCTTGTCTCGTAGGGAAAAGTGAAAAAATTACCCTAAAAATTCCGCAAAAGGTGAATAAAGTTTCAAAAACACGCTAGGGCACTATAAAATTTTTCTTACTTTTTTAGAGATTTTCAAGATTTTGAGTATATGTAGAATGATATTTTTAGTAACTGTGTTTCATTTTCTTCCGTTGTCGGATACTAAGAGGCTCCTTTCTGGGCATCCTCGACTTCAATGGCTTAACTCCCTTGGCATAGACGTACAAAAGGGGAGTCCAGGGGGGCCCGGCTCCCCATAGAATTGAAAATTATCATCTGCCCCCTCAAAAAAAAATTTATAGATGTTTTGAATGCAACAATTCGAAAGTTTTTG